TGCATGCATGGATGCATACATACATAGATAGAGAGAGTGACAGAGAGAGAGAGAGAGAGAGCCAAAGGTTTTTTAGTACTTGGTTGGGTTTGTGCATCGTGAATGATGCTCCCTCTGCCCTTGCCTGGTCGAGAGTGAGAGAGCGCGAGGTGCATCCACGAATTTACATGCTTGAAATTTTTTTGGTGCAGTCGGCTCTGTGATCAATCGCAGATTTCTGACTTGGGGGTTTTCGGCTGTTTGGAGGAGATAATTAGCAGTCGGAATTGTCCTAGACTTCACGACCGTAGTGACATAATGAGATCACCTGACGACCCTGGCCAGGGTGCAGACTCCGGATGGAGGCACCATGGATGCGTTTGAAATTAGAGCTACTTTCCAGGCGCCTGGCACCTATGTGAATGTCGTAGGCATCTGTTGCGACAAGTGCGGCAAGGATAAGCAACGTGAAGTGTGAAAGGGATCTCAGTTCAAATAGCCCCGACCTTGGACATTTGTTGATTCTGAGCGAGGTAGCCAAGCTGCAGCACCTGCACCGTCTCCAAAAAAAGAGGTGCGCTGGTGTACCCTATAAGCCCAAAGCCCTACCAGTTTAGTCAAGAGTGGAAGGCGGCGAAAGCACCGGCCCCTGGCGCAGAGAAGAAGCCTGCGGAGAAGGATGGGGATCGACGTGTTGCAAGACAGTCGCAGCGAAGATCCTGTATGAGACGTGCTTCAGGAGGCCAAGCCAGCAGCCGCTAAGGCTTCTCGCCTGTTTCTCACGACTTTAGCTGCCGAAGCCGATGGCCGTGGTTTCAGGCGGCTCCAGATCCAGCGCCCAAAACTGCGCCAGAGCCGAAGGCCAAGGCGAACACAGATAAGGCCGGACTCCTCCCTAAACCCCCACCTTGATTTGAAGAAGTATTGATGATTGGGAGAGGGTTGGCGTTTGGCCTGCCGGTGTTGAGGCCAAAGAGATCTTGCCTTATGCTGCCAAACAGCCGAATTCCAAAGCATCGAAGGACGGTGCCTCTTGCTCTGCAGTTGCTGTGGAACTCCCGCATTAAATGCTCTGAAATCACATCGCCGAGCAGGAGAAGCCGGGTACACCGGTGACACACCGAGTGCTAGCATCAGGCTCTGTCCGCCAGATCGCAAAGGTGTGCAGCCAGATCAGATCCCAGAAGTCGAGTGCTGCGAGGTCTCAGGTATGAGGTCCTGAAGTCTGGTTCTGGAATTCCTGTCATGTTTGTTGGGCTGCTGTTGTGGCTGAAACCTCTTCGGTGCCTTGCCAGGTCCTCAGGCAATGTCCGGGAAGGAAGTGAAAGTGCGATACGAGGGACGTCTCGGAAGCACAGGCCACTTTCAACTTCCCATCTCGGGAACTCAGGTGTTCTAAACCAGTCTCCCTTTTCAATGCCTCATCATCCTTGGCACTTGCCCTAAAGTCAGTCCTGATTCGGAAAACCCTGCAAGGTCCCATGTTGCCCTTTTCACGCCCTTCTTCCTTCCACGCCCTAAACCCTAAACCCTAAACCGTGAGGTGGCAGGTTCGACAAAGGCGTCATCAAGTTCCGCCTCGGTATGGGAGAAGTGATACAGGGCTGGGACCAGGGGGTGAAGGCCGGTCTTGAAGTGAAGTGATATAGGGGCCTTAATAATTACAACAGGTTTTTGGGGATATTATGCTTTCATGATAATAAGGATCTTAGAAGAGGGTTTTGGGGTAGAAGGAACCCCAAAACCCGATTCTAGTTATTGAGGCCCCTACATTGCCCGTGAAGATTTGTCTTTGAGTTGCAACCCCGCTTGCACTGTCTTTTGCCAGGGCATGCTCCGAGGGGAGAAGCGGAGGCTCTTGGTGCGCCCACCCTTTGAACCCTGTGGCTGCAGAGAGTATGCTGGGTCTGGCAGGTACCATCCAAACTTGGAGCTTCTGGCATGTTGTTACTACCCAGGGGCTCCAAGGTAGTTCCTTTTTGGGTCTGCTATGGTTTTTGGTAAGGAATTATAATAATATGCTATCCAAAACGGAACTACCTAGGAGCCCTTGGGTAGCATCTTGAAGATGCCTTGAGTGTGCTTCCTTGTTCTGCTTGGCATTCAGCATTCCTGAACCATATCCTGGAAAACTTGAAAAGTTCTGAACCTGACGTAGTATATTGTAGTCTATTTTTACAGTAATTTCTAGTAGTATCTTATAGAAATTTCTAGTCGTGCGCTATAGTATATTAAAAAATGTCTACAGTAGTATAGTATCGTGTCTTATAGCACTTTCTTGTAGTATATTATAGCAATTTCTAGTAGTCCATTATGGTATTTTCAAGTAATTTCCAGTAGTCTTTTATCTTATATGATGGTCTATCCTTTTACCCTAAACCCTAAACCCTAAACCCTAAAACCCCAAGCCCTAAGCCCCAAACCCTATACCCTAAACCCTCAACCCTGAACCCTAAGCCCTAAGCCCTAAACCCTAAACCCTAAAACCCCCCCTAAACCCTAAACGTTTAGAGGCTGCGCCTTGTTTTGAACGGCCTTTAGAGGCGCAGCCGAGGTGCGCCAGCGCAGCAATTGGTTTTGACAGCTGAGCCCGGACGGGTTTAAGTAAATTGAATCGACAAGCCCCGGGACCGGTTTGGGTTCATTGACGTGTACCCTGATCGCGTAAGAGCAAATTTGGATTGATATATATATATATATATGTAAATACATGCCTATGCAGAAGCAGGGTTATAATATATATATATATATATACACAGATACACATAAACATATAGATCAACAGGTCTTCATTTTTTGGCATTAAAATATATAGATGTATAAGCAGGTCAATATACCGATACATATATATACATATATATATATATGATCTACTGAATTATATGAGTAGATTTATAGGTTTAAAGATTTGTAGTCACACTCCTGTTCTGGATACAGATACTAATATAAACATTGGTCAGGTACAGATACAGAGGCAACTATAGATATACATTTAAATATAGATACATACCATACTCGAAATCCAAATTAAAATGTAGGCAATGATATAGATTATAATATCGTTTTTGACAGTATGCACATACACGAATAATTATTGATGGAAGTATAAATGCGGATATAGATAAAGATATGGATATAAATGAAAGAGCAATTTCGCAGATATATATATATATATATACATATATATATATATATTCCCATAAGGATACACATAAAGAACGGAATATCGATAAAAATATAAACATAGGCATGGAGATAGATATGGACATAGGTTCATACTTGCAAACATATAGATAGCGAGATACACATATAAAAGATGAAATGGACATAGACACAGATACGGGCATAGATGTATGTTTGTGTAAAGCTACATACATAACGTCGTACAAGGTGGTTTTTTCTCACCTTGAGACAAATTCCGCCTCGGCCGGTGGCTTCCGCCCCCGGCCTCGACGGAAGCAGACCTAGACCTATGTACATAAAGATAGAGATGTCAATACGAATAAAAGCCAAACATAGAGATAGATACAGACCTAGATTTAAATATGCTTACATACAGAAAAAAGGCACACATAGATATAGATCTCAAGACAGATACAAACAAATACGAACATATATCTATATGGAATGGATATATATATATATATATATGAGCATATACATATACACATATATATATATATGTAGAGCATCAAACAGGCTGCATATGGGAATATGGTTGCACCTTGAAACGATTCCGCTTTGGCCAGTGGCTTCCGCCCCCGGCCTCGGCGGAAAAAATATTGCTCGACTTCGGCATCCTTCCTTGCTTTGTCCCGGCAAATAGTCAAGCAAACCCAAAGAAAAACTATTAAATACATATTTGCTTGGCGTCTTGGATTTGTTTTAACAAGAAAAAGACACTACTACTTTCTTGTAATAGCCGGACGAACGCATAGACGATGCGACACAATAACGAACGGGGACGCCAAAAATTGAATCTCAAATCTTCGCTTTTGGTTGCTTACGCTTCGCCGAAACAAATTTGTTTCGGGAACTGCCGTTTTTGTTTTTCTAGCGCGTTGCGTCCGTGCGTCCGTTGCCCGTTCGTTCGTCTGCCCGAACGAACGCCGGCGAGGCTTGCGCGCAACGAACGCTTTAGGGCTAAGGGCCGGAGCCCCTTATTTTTCCATGAGAGTTGGTTAGGGCGCCAGCTGCACTGGCGGACCCTATACTCTAAACCCTAAACCCTAAACCCTAAGCCCTAAACCCTAAACCCTAAACCCTAAACCCCTAAACCCCTAAACCCTAAACCCTAAAGCCTTAGACGAAGGAGGGATCTTCAGCTCTGGCCTTGCCAGGCTACGGTCGGAGTGGGGCCCCGCCGGCTTCCTCAGCGCTTTCGATTCTCCCGCCGACTCCCTCTCCTCCGAAAGCCAATAGGGTTTATAGGGGTTTGGGGTTTAGGGTTTTAGGGTTTAGGGTTTAGGGTGTAGGTTTTAGGGTTTAGGGTTTTAGGGTTTAGGGTTTTAGGGTTTAAAGTTTCAGGGTTTAGGGTTTAAGGGTTTGGGGTTTTAGGGTTTAGGGTTTAGGATTAAAGCCCTAAAACCCTAAACCACAAATTTTCTGATCCCTAAAACCCTAAACCCCTAAACCTTTAAACCCCGGTTAGCAGCATGGTTTCAGCCAAGGCCGGCGATCCCGCCGAATGCTGATCTGGTGTTTGAGGTTGAGCTGCTGTGAGAGCGGATGATCTTTGCACCTTACATCACTTTAACTGGGGGTTTCAGAAAATAGGGGACCCTAATATAGTACCCTAAATAGTAGGATGCTTATTATCAGGACCCCAAAATGAGGTACCCCTGACTTCGGAAACTCCCAACTATCTCTAAAATGCTCAGAAGATTTGTCGCGTGCGAAGGACCGCATGCGCAGCTTTCATGCACTCGGGACGTTTCAGCCGGGGGAAGGGGTGGGCTGAATTCTCGGATAAGTGCATTTTGCAAAGCATCTGCAATTCAGCCAGCACGGTGAACCATAACCACTGCTGCAACCAGACCGGGTTCACGTCAGCCCACCCTTGACCTGTAAGAACTGTACCCCGCTAACGTCAACTTGATTGATCGCCTTTGCAAGTTTGAAACGGTGCTTGCTTGCTTTATCTGACTCCCAGTCCCACGTAGCTGGCCGCATGTATTCCATTGATCGCAAAGGTTGCTTCTCCGTGGTTTTATGCTTCTTCCGTCGCAGTTTTGAGCCGGTTCAGTTGATTCAATGGGCGGTTTGAAAGCCCTGTTTACCTGCAAGGCTCTAATTGCAAGGTCCAGTCTTGATTGTGAACACAGTGACACCACAGGCATTTGTGCGGTGTATCAAAACCCTTCCTGGTGCCGACATACTGGAGTTTCCTTCGCAGCGCCACCGAGTCCCTTGCTTGCGATACTCGGGATGATCGAGGCCAGAGGGAATGCTGATGCATTGAAACCTGCAGCAGCAGCAGCAGCAGCTGTAGAACATGTAGTCTTTCAGGGAATCACGCCTACACGCCTGATGTTCGTTCCAGGTGATCTGCAATGACCGTATTGGGCGAAAGATCCGAGTGAAGTGCAATCCTGATGACACCATCGCGGACCTCAAAAAGCTTATCGCGGCACAGCCACCGGCTTAAAGCTTCTTTGGACGATGAAGTGTAGGCATCTGATACCAGAAGCAAGGTGTGGGACCCGATGGGAAAAGATTCGAATACAGAAGTGGTACAACACGTACAAGGCCAACAGCTTTGCACGAGTCCGAGTACGAATCCTAGTTTGCTTCATGGACCCTGGGTATCGAGTGCAGGACCACATCACACTCGAGGACTATGAGATCAAAGACGGTATGGGTGGCTTGCTTGCATCTTCGTGCCACCGGATGGATAAACCCTAAACCCTAGACCCTAAACCGACTATGGTGTTGAAGCTCAGGCTTGGAGCTCTACTACAATTAGATGCGTGTCTTCCGCTGTGGATTCAAGCCAAACGATGGGTGCAATCGGTCTTTCGAACCTGCTGCGATGAAAAAACGGCGTACCCATCGGAAGGCCTTTCTCTTTCGCCACAGCTCTTCTAGCATTTTTGGGAATGCTCCACCTTTAACCCATGCTTCAGTCAAACATGCAGTGGAGTGGATAAGTAGTACCTCGGTTTTGTAGGGCTCACAGTAGTGATTTCGAACCGGAAAGTAGTGACCGTTCTACATGCCCCACCTCAAATTGCCATAACCATAAACTTCCTCAAATTTGAAATATTGTTGAATGTTGTTTGGTAAAGCTAGAAGATTTAATGCGAAATATGTATTTTTAATTTTTAGTTGATTTGTTCTTTCAAGATTAGTATGATACTTAAAAGAAAACTATCTAATAAATTCGCATTATTTATGGTCGTGATTCTGAACACGTCTTTATTTATAAGACCGCGAGGCTTTATCTTATTTCATCTATATTTCACTACTGGCGATTGTAGTTATAAAAACTTTCTTGGGATTTTCATATTTATTTTATTGGAATATTATAATTTGATATTATTTTTTTATTTTCTGGAATTTCTTAAAACATATTTTTAATATGAATATATTTTGAAATTATGGATCTCTATTTGAGATGAGGTCAAAATAGCTAATATTATTATTGATTTGGAAAATAATAGGGGATGTTCTAAAAATATTTCTCTAAATATAATAATATTTCTAAATTATATTCTAATCGAAATAAATAATATTGATGCCCTTCTTAATTATTTCGATTTCTTCTCTTTTTTTTATAATATCTATCTTGTTTTTATTTTTTCTTTTTGATAGGAATTCATTATATTAATATTTGATATAATTTTATATATTAATATACTAAATATCTTAGAATTCTTTTGAATATATTTCGAATATATTTATGGATAATTATATTCT